GTTCGAATCAGGTATTGAAAATATAATATAACTTATATATTTGTATGACAATATTTACGAACACGTTACGGGACCTAAAATCACCGTCGGACGTCGACGGGCGTGCGTCGCGAACGAACCGTGTTGACGAACTGCGGTATGCGTGGTGGACCCGGAGGTAACGTCGTCGGCTCTCTGCGGTGTTGCAGTCTGTGAGCGCGCGAGCTGGGAGAAAGTCGACTCTGTGCGTGCCGCCGCCCGGTTTAAGTCTTCGGCGGCGACAGTGAAAGTGCACAATGTATTATAATATAATTATATTGTGACGGTGGTTGTTTAGCCGAAACAAGGTCGCCCATCAGCCGACCTGTGAAACGTACGAAAACATTGTGCCTTTATTATTACGCTGCAGTTTATAACATTTATATATTATGTATATCAATTATTACTGTTACTATTATTATTAATCGACGTTTGTGGATGCACGTGCAACAATTATTGTCCATTAATAATATTATCGTATACATTATAGCACTTTGCATCGTATCGTGAGTATTCGTGAGGATTAACTTAGGATATAGGTAATATTAAAATGTGTATGCATTATAATATGCACAATACATTGTCCGTCATTGACATACCAACGTCGGAGCGATTATAATAATAACGCCAACACAGTTTAAGAGATTATGTGCATCTGAGCGTCTCTGAACAGTGCCACACATCTACAGTCTTCACTACTAATTACTAAAATATTCGTCTAGCTCTCTCTCTCTCTCTCTCTCTCTCTCTCTCTCTCTGGCGTGACGTGACCTGCCGCAATATATTACAATATCATTCCGTATCAGCGGCAGGACACCACTACTCTATCCTGATTAAAAAAAACCAGTGAGTGCGCATCTCCACTTAATTCAAGTTAAGAATTATGGCCTATGCTCGCGCAGGTATTATAAGAGAATGTCATAACAATTTTTGCCCATAGTGTATATCGAACACTCATTTGTAATGATAAATGATAAAATGCAAAGAAAATCTGCTATTCAACCGTTTTCGTTTTGTAGCGAAATCATTGAAGGACTTGTATAAAAACCAGACAAATTCACTTTTTCACGAAATAACGTGAAGAAAATAAATCCATACAAGTTGTAGGTAAAACAACCATATTAGTCCGTTGTATTATATATAGGTAAGTATAATAGTTTTTACAGTGCACGGACTTGTGAGATTTATTTATTTTGATGTATCAGATAAGTCCGGACATAAATATCTTGAAATAATTCATCTTGAATTAAAACGGAGGGCATTCCTTTTTGTTCAAGGAAAGTTCCCCTGAGTGGTGGGTTTTACGTCATTGGTTTTAATTTTACCAATTTTTGGCCCAAGATTTTTTTACTTGGATATAATAATTGTAGATTTTGAGACCCGATATCAGAAATATTATTTCAAGCAAGTATTGCTGTGTCTTCGAAGCAAATGAGGCGAGGAGAGTGTGGTTATTGTTGTAGGTACCTACATCGGCAGTTACGATTTATTATTGAATATAGATAACGAGTCACCATCCCACGGGAACTCCACCTTTAATATTCCGAAAATAGAATAATGATTGTTTAGAAGAATTAAAAATACATTTTTCAAACCACATACACATAATAGTATATTGTGTGACAAGGGCGAGAAGTGAGCTATTTCGGTCGAGGGCCGCATTTTGTCCAAAACTGAAGTTGCCTTCCCGCACGAGCGTTACTATTTTTTGTCACGCCACCACGTTCATCGATCACGCAAAGGTAATGCAAAGATCTTATTGCGACATTGCAAACACCAGACTATTCTACGAAAACAATTTCATGAAAGAAAAATGTTTAAGCGTCATGCAAGGAGGTTGTTAGATTAGTATAAGATGTAACCAAAAGTTAATGTTTTGTAAGGACCGTGATGGACCGTGGTATAGATTTCAGTGTCTAGTTGTGCAGTGGATACGCCCGGCACTTTTTGGTATTTCCATTTTACAGTCCGGCACTATGGGAATTCCCACTTTACCACCCGCTAGACGGAAAAAGGTCGCTTCCCCACGCATCAACCATCATCAAAAACAATACTTTCGCCGCAGACGTGACGAAAAAGTATTTATTGATCATCCTAATTTTTTTTTTTATACATAAATTGCAGAGAGCTCGCCTTCATTCGACGGTCCAAATTAGGAAATTAGATAAATAACAATTAACATAACAAACTATACTACTACAGCTATAACAAAGAATTATCGTATAGCCGATAATTAATTTTGTTACAACAATAAACATTTACACCTTATTAGAATAATAGCCAAAAGGTACTAAATACTACCGTCTATTATACATAATATGTTTATTGTTATCACTAGGTAATAATAATATTGAATTAAAATCTGAGAGTCGTAAACCTGAAATCACCAACAAAATAATACAACTTGCATCATAAGTTATAATTCTTGATCGTTATAGTGAATAAAGCAACTTAAGTGTAGGTAAAACTCGGATATACGTAATAGGATATTGATAGTGATAATTATTTGTAATAACAAAATTATTTAATACTTCCAAGGTCATGGGCCTCTATGCCTCGCCTAGTCGCCTATTAATATGTGCAATTAAATTAATGTATTTATTTACAATTATTTTCAGAATTAATCAGTTTCAAATAATACCTGTACAAACAATAAAAAGTTGGATTATATTATGTAGTTAGTAGGTACCTATAAACAAAATTAGATTTATCTGATTTTCGATTAGTAAATTAACCCAACTAAAAAAATTGTTATATTTTATATTTTTATGATAAATACCAACATAATGTACGAGTATAAATATAATATAATACAAACTGAACCTATGTAGGTAGGTATATATTGCAAATAATAACGCTGACAATTAAATAATAATAAAATTAAAACCCTGGCAGACAGACGACAGTCTGTTTCAGCAAGTCTTCTATTCTACTATATAGTACCAATTTCATTACCTTGCAAATAATTGCGCAACATTTGCACAAAAAAACACTGTATGATAAAACACGACATTAATATATTACATAGGTACTAATATAATATTATATTATTATACCAATCTACTACCTACTATTACATTTTGAAATAACTGCAACAAAATATAATCGTACCTGTCACCTGATGTTATGAAAAAATACATTTTTCATACCACCCACAACTCACAAGCTTAAATTGAAAAGTAATGGACTTATATATTAGATAATAGTCCGTGTTCTATAATAATGTATAAGTGGTTGCCAATTGCCAGTTTATGAAAAATGATTATTACAAATAGTTATAGTTTCATAATATTCACACAATTCACAAGATATTTAATTATTTACAATATCAATAAAAACTCGATCGATGAATGTTAAATACCTACTTTGTACTTGGTATAATTATTATTTTAAGAAGTTTAAAATTTTTAATTAATTAAACCATGTCTTTAGGTTTGAGGTGTTTGAAAAATACGAGTAGGTAGCTTATATTTTATACTATAGTACCTACCAACATAAGTATTAATATAACTTAGTTGCACTTTAGGTGTTTAACTTAATTAGATAAAATCTTACATAATTTTTTTTTTTTATTAAAATAAATGTTGCCCGACAAGGTCAATAATTAAACTTAAAGTTATTAAATAAGAATTTTTTTGATGTTATTAACTTATTACACAATAGACAACGATAATCATTTACAAACATTTACAATGATTGAGGAATCTTGAAAGTATAAAGATATTGATTAGGTACATTTGATAACAATAAGAATAATATAATAGGTTAACCTACCTATAGGCTATAACCGTACCTGGATAATAATAAAAGTAATTTTATTAAAATTCGATATCACTCACTCAAAATTAAACGTGAAATATGCAGATATAACAATTGAGCTGAGCACGTAAAATACAAAAAATGAACATGTTGAATGCCTCGTAGTATTTTGCCCAGAATCCGAACAAAATTATTCCCGCGATTATGTCGGTCATCTACTTGTTGACGTCGTCCTCCAGCGCAATGCGGTTTTTTTTCGCTACATATCTACTTGTTATTATTATTTACCATTTGAATGATTAATATATAATAAGAAAATGTACAAATGTTTTATACTTGTAGCAATGAATAATATATGTACGAATTATTATGAAATAATATTAATATGTAAATTCCTAGTATTATTTTCGTCTGTAAATAAGAAAAATTTATCATGAAAATTATATTATGTATAAAATAATATAAATAACTATAAAACTGTATATCATAAGAATAATGTTTACATATAATAGCTTTAGCTACAATTCTACAAACATGAGCACTGGCCGGTATCGACGATTTCCTGGAAAAATAGCCATTACTTTGCTAAAAATAAACTAAAACGAAATCCGAATTCATAGTTCAAAAGTAGATATTTCACTGAATAACCGTGACTCAAAACAGAAGCATTGCTCTGATAACCGGGTGAATTTATAAGCCACAAAGATGCCTGTACCAATATTGTCGACTACCCATCGACCGCGGCACTCAACGTGTAATAATTGTAACCATAGGCACCTACTAATCTGGAAGTCTATCTAAATGTTAAACCATTCTTATTAGTTTTTAGGTACTTATAAGCGCACAAAGTGTATACTGGTGCATAATTTTATATTGTTGGTTTGTATGTAATTGAATATTTGTGTATTTGTAATTTGTATACAGCGATTTGTGATGAGAAAAATTTAGTTAGTACCTAATACCTATCGTTAAAAAAAATATATTTCGTGAGGAAAACATTTTTTTCTTCTCTTATTTTGAGTTTATCCTTTTCAAGCATTGAATAGGCAGCTAAATTAACATTCATGGCAGTCATGTAATAGAATTTTACTACTAAAAACCATAATATCATTATAGTTGCTTAATATTGATTTTGAATTTTGGCTACACTGTTTACATGCAACAATACATTGTTATCATTTTTTATCAAAGCATAATAATGAATAGACTAATTCGTTATGTGTATTGAAATTTGAAATTGAACAAGAGTGTTTAAATTTTGAATCAAATAGTTTTTATTGTTGTTAGTTTGTATTTTGTAACTTTTAATAAATTAGTTATAGTATTCAATATTGAGTACTGAACATTTAAATTGCACCTAATTACATAAAGTTTTAGGCATTTTGTTTCTATATAATTTTTAAAAATGCTTAAACCCAAGAAAAATAATAACCCATCAAAAAAACGAGACGATGATAACGATAATGCCGCTCGTCCTAAGACCTGTAAGTTTGAGCCCAAACCTACTCTGTATTCTTCGGTCATTCAAACAGAGTCGAAGTTGAGGAACATTTCACTTTCTCGTTTGGAACCCAAACCAAATTCAATCAAAGTATGAACATTGTGTGTGTTTGAGTGCACGTAAAACTATTTATGATTGTATTTTTGTTCATATTCAGGGAATTGTCAGGGAAGTAAATTTTCCATTGAACGAACATGTGTACGATTATAATAAAATGGTGAATGTCGGATTAAATACAAATTCAAGTGCTGTTACAAAACCTAAGCCTAGAGAAGCACATTCAACCAAAAAACCAGTACCCAAGTTAAGTGATTATTACACACCAAGTTTTGATAATGTCCAACGTATACAAATGGACAGCATAACAACTAATCCAGAGTTAACGGTACAATATGATGGTTTGGCAGTAACGAGATTACTGAATGAAATTGATGATTTAATCTTCAGATTATAATCAGTAGTGAAGTAAATTATACTACCTGTTTGTTATTTATTTTAACTTTGTAATATTTGTAAATCTTTAATGTTATTAAGGCAATTGTTTATTATTTTTTTTAATTGATCTAAAGCCCGAGATGTGGGGCCATTAGCTGTTTGTAGGGGGGGGGGAACATTGAATTTTGTGGAACACATGTATGTTTGGCAGAATTTCTAGTGGGCACCCGAATGTTTCTGCAATGCCCGAGTGGGGGGCGGCGGCTTCTCTCTCCAGGCACCGTGACTGCCCGAAGATCGATGTCGCCCGTGACCGAGATTTAAACCACCGATGGTGTGCGTCGCAACAGACGCTTTGGTCGACTCGACCACTTTACCCCCAACTGTTTATTATTTTTCAGTAAAAATGCAGTTTGAATTCAATTACTACTTATTTAGATTACATTTTTAATGAATTATAAGACCGTTTTAGATTTTTATTAACTATAATAAAAAAAATTTTATTTGCTACATCTAAGATACCAATTTAATTCAATCATGTACTAAACACTTAAAGCTTTATACTATGTTTAATTTTTTTTTGTAATAAATGGATACCACAATAATTCGATCATATTTACCTACTATGCAGGTTATGCAAGATGTATTTTTAATTGGTATATCATGTTATATTACCTCTTAATACATACATTTTGTATAATATTAATAAAATATTATTTTTATGTAACCAAAATATTATATACCAAAGCACAATTAAGAATATATTGTGGTTAGAAGGTTATATGAATTTAAAATTAAATTTTGTAAGTCACATTTATTAAAAATATGTTTAACCAATTTTTTAGGCAGACGATTTTGTAAAATTCAAAGTACCATAACATAATATTATACATAAGACATACCTTGAAAAAACAATAATGGAAGCTTAAAGATGAAGTAAAAGGTAATTTATACAGATTTTACATTGCATTGTCTATTTATGTTTTGTTAGTGTTGCATTGGCAACTAATCTTTTTGGATGTAACAAATAATTTGTAGAAATCTGAAAGAATAATGTAATATGTAAATTTTATTTAGTGTAGTGTCATTCGCTCTTAAAAAGTGTTAATGGTTAATGGTAACACTAACTGTTATTAATTGTAAGTTAATTATACATTTTAAATCATTGCAGTTGTAGTAAAGATGATTTTTATGAACAAATGTCTAAAAACCTTATACAATTAAATTGTTCTTAACTTGATATTTAACATTATTTGACAAATATGTACAACAAAATTATTAATGTAGATAACTATCAAATTTATATTCACTGGATATGGGATACTATTCATTGTAGGTTGAACATACATGTTTTCTTTTAATATATTTTTTAAAAACTGCTTCACCACCTATTTGGAATATTTAGCCTAAAAAAATAAAAATAAACATTTAATAATCTTACTCACCCATTTGATAAATAGTGTATTAGTGTACCTTTGCCTCGAAGAAGTCTCTTACGCCTTTAATTCCAACTTTATTAAAGTCTACTTTTTCTTGTTTGGCCAATGCCCGTTGACAGTACTCCAAAGTTTTACGGTTTGTCATAACAAACTTAACAATATTAATAACATGTGTTTCTTTATTGGGTTAATTAAAACATTCAGATTTATATTGATTATTTCAATTTAAAAATATATTAATTTTTAAGTAGATTTTAAGATTTATCAACTTAAACATACTTCTCTAAAAGTCAATTTTCCATCTTTGTCTTTGTCCACATCATCGATCAGTTGACTTAATGAGTTTTCAGTCCATGGAACTCGACGTTTGATCATCATTCGTTTCAATTCATTTCTACACAGATATCCATCTTTGTTTGCATCATATCTATGTGTAAACATAATTATATTTAAAAAAAATAAATATAGGTATTCAAAATAACTTTAAGAGTTTCATTTACGGATGGTTTCTCTTCACTTTATTTTTGCGTGACTTGTAAACTAATTATACAATATCTATGTAAGTATAGGTTGATTGTATATTTCTAAACAAAATATTAGACGAATAACAAAATTATTCGTTGGCTTTAATTATTTAGTTGACAGAATACATAAACCATACACATATAAGTATAGGTACCTACCTAAACTAGGTTTAGCTGCTAGAGTGCAATATGAACCAATAATATGGAATGGAATTTTTTTTTAAGAAGTTACAATCCAATTCACAATCACTATAATGTGTGTGACCCTGGTGGTAATAAATAAAAAAACATATTTCTTTTTTTAATGAGTTTAGTCAAGTCAATATTTTCAACACATTAACTTTAAACTTTTATTGTAAAGTAAATTATTTGTTTATATAACATAAAACTTTATGTATTAGTATTGTTATTTCCATTAATAATAAGTTTGAGTTTAAGTTAACAATGACTTAATGTCAGGGAAACTTTACTAAATAATAATAATAAAAAAAAGGTAATGTCATAGCAATAAAGTAGGTATTTATAATAATTTTAGTTTTCATTTAGCACATAAATTATAGTAAATCTACCTATGATAAATGATAATCTACAAATGTGCTCAAGCGTTTAAATCACATAGGTCACCTATGACGTACTGGTTAAAAATATCTTCGATCTTTTGAATCTGCGCCGGACTGAACTCTGAGAATTCCAAATACACTTGTCGCTTGGTCGTGTTGGATGCGTATTCATTAGCGGTCAGCAAACCGCCCTCGCCGTTCGAATCAGACGAATCTTCCTGCATGGTCGGTACTTATATAGAAGACAGAACGGACGGGTTCGGACCGGAAGGAAGTGTTGCAAGCCGAAGGTGCGAAAGTACAACAGAATCGGGGATATGAGTGATCGGCAAGAAACAAACCTACGAAAGGAAACGTATATTGAATCTGCTGCGACCCGAAGTTAAGACTCCGTATGTTCGCGAGTTATTCTCTATCGTGCACTTCCTATACCTACAGGATAATTGACGTATATTATGAATATTATATTGCTTTGTACGTAACTTAATTATATAATACGCGACTTTGTATAACAATAAACTTATCCGAGAAAAGACGCTTCACTGTGGTATATTATACACGCCTATTCCCCGTCGAGAGGGATGTTTGGAAAATGAGTCAGTCTCACACTCTGTAGCTGTAGTCACGTGTCACGTCACTATAATAATAAAAAAATGTATAAAAAGCACTCGTCACACGTAACTGCTATGTACTTAGAACGCATTATTGCTCATTGTAATTTGTATAATCGTCGAGCCGCATATACTTTGTACGCGCGTGTTTGTTATTGTGTTTTCGCATTACTCCGACGTCGTTTAACGGCTGATAAATCCAACTGAATGTGAATGAATATACGTATATACGATGTGCCTACATTATGTACGAAGGAAAGCGATTGTTCGATGGCGGTCATCAAGTACGTAATATGAATAACATGAATAATCGACAGAGCGTTTATCGAAGTATTGAATTTTTAAATCGTTTTCTTTTATTGAACACATTTTCAGATTTTAGAGGTGCAGGTGGCTGCTACCTGGTGTCATCATGGCAAACCTTATTATATTGGACTGTTTTTGTCTCTTCACTTTTAAGGTCCGTTACCGTGCAAATAAATAGCGTTCCAAATTATATTGGTTGATACATTGTCATTATTTTGGACAAATGTAATTGAAACTATTTCTTAAGTGTTCAAAACAGATAACAATGCTAACACATCTTGTTTGAATTCCTATAAAATATATTTAAAATTGTTTATTAGGTATGTAACAATAAGGGAAGGAAGGTCAATGTAGTAGGATGGGAGATGAATGCGCTTAAGCAAATATAATTTTTTCTCATATTAGATTTTGAGAAGAGCGATGAGTGCATTGATTTTACAATGGAGTGTGTTTCTTTTTTTAAAAAAATTGTTGTGTTTGTTTTCACCATTTATGAGAGTGAAAATGCTTCGATTTTCTGCATCACCATCTTTTGATAGAAAAATGAATCTACTAATCTAGTTGATACTTATTTGCGGGGCAAATTAAAAATTTTTCAAAATCGTAAGGGAAAACAAAAATAAGAAAAACAGGAATTTTTACAAGCGGTTGAAGTTCAAATTTGATTTTAATTTAAATTAACAAATTTCATCGAACGATTTTCTTATTTTAAAATTTTCACTAAATGTTTATTTTATCAGACTAAAATGCACTTAACCCTCATCATGAATTTCGATTTTTTTTAAAAAAAAAAATTAAAAAACGTGTTTTCCACTCTGATTTCAAAACTTAGAATTTTTTTGCGGAAACCATTATTTTGGAAGTTATAGCCTTCCAAAATGTGCGATTTTCCGTTTATACACAGTGAAGTAGTGTGGAACGTATGCGTATAAACGTAAAATCGCAAACTTTGGAAGACTGTAACTTCTAAAATAATGGTTTCCGCAAAAACATTCAAGCATTTTCAAATTCAGCTTTAAAAACACGTCTTCAATAAGATTAGTTAGATTCGTGAGAGGTGAGGTAAAGTGAATTTGTTCCACAAAGTATTAGAATATCATCGCTTTTGAATTGTTTTATCGTATATTCTTACCGGTCAATTGAATGAACGTGACGTGTTGTATAAATAAGTAGATTTTATTTTTTACATAATAGCATAGCACAACAAATTAGCATTATATATTAATTACATTATACATTTGAATATTTTATATGCATAACATAACTTTATATAAGTACCTACATTATATTTAAAATAATACATATAAAACATATTTTTAAAAACAATAAATAAAACAATTCTGCAGGCATTATATTAAATATTTACATAACACATAATAAATTATGACATTATACACAGTGTCACTCACTTGTTTATAGTGACTTAAAATATTGAATAGGTTATTAATGACACGGAGACGGAGACGTCATTGTCATACATATACTAGAGTACTGGTCACAAATGTTTGGATCGATGTCACTGTCAGCATCCACTCGTCGTCTCGCAAAGTCTGCCGAGATTCGAGTTCACCACATGGCTGTACCACCATCATTATTTGCAACATAACCTCGGAACTACAATATGTTGACATCAACGACACCTCGAATACACGAGCACCTGAGAAATGCTGCTGTCTCTGCGCGTTTCCGAATCTCCTACAAAATACGGCGGAACTCGTCCGTATAAAATCCTCGGTTCTGCGAAAGATTTTAATCCTTCGAGCACACCACGGGTAGAACGCTGGGAACAGACGACCATCACCTTCTAAGAACGTCGTCGATATAGTTCGTCTAGGGTCTACACTGCGCCGTGGAAAAATCACTGATCGCCGTATGGCTACCGTTCGTCAAGGATCGGCCAGAGCGCTGTCTGACTAGATGACGTTTGACTTTTGACGTTATCGTAGTCTCAACGTGTTTTATAGACATATTATATAGACGGCCGTAGTTCTGTCACGTTTTCAATATATATCGGGAAAATATACATATGTATACATCGTTCTCAAGTACCATTATTCACTTTCCAAACACTTATTTGGTAGTGTGCTCGGCCAGTGTGCGAGTGTGTGACCAATGACTCGAGTTGAGCCGGAGCCAAGTGAATATTATTACTAAGTATATCCCTATATCCATTTCAAAGTCAAAACTGATTCACGCCGGGTTATTCGAGGGAGCACATCCGGTGTCTTGTGATCTTGAACCCGGAGTCTTGGTTACCACGGTATTACCATTGCAAGGCGGGCACTTGATTAAATCCGTTGTCATGACGTAATCTCCGTCTTGGGCAATTTCCAATTTTAGTAGCGCATTTGCCGTGGCGATGCATTGGTCTGATAACACAATTTTTTCTTGGGACAAACATCACTGCCAGCTCAGCTCTCAACAGGCCCTAGGGCTTAGACTATCCGAAAGTCCTGGTGAAACAACGTTGTTTTAGTTTTCAAAACTTTCCATTTTTTGATTTTTTATAGGGTTGACTTCGTATTACCTACCGCAAAGTTTGTGGAAAATTACTTAAAAGTAAAGTGTATATTATGTATTACTTTAAGTCTAACTTTATGGCTTATTTTACCGGTATAATTTGTCTTCGGACTTCAAGGTAGAATACCGGCTATTGGAAGTAACATGTAACATACTAACAGTAGTTAGTATTAATATTCTTATACAAATTACAAGGTGAGTAAGATATTAATATTCAATATTTTAAGTTATATCATCATTTGGTATATTTATCACTGATTGTAATAAGAAAATGTTGATTGTTTCACTTTAAAACAAAAGCAGTGCTGGTGAGTCAATGTGTACACAATTTATATGTTTCAACAAATCTCTTTGTACTATAATTACTAAATTATAATATTGTGATTGTGGCTTGACGTGGCACGGTATTTACATTTACTTGCGCACGCGCCTTGAGTGGACTCACCGGCTGGTGTTACTGGCTCCCGGATGGGTGACCACGGGGGATTTTTAGCAACAAATCCTTGCCACATACTGCACATGTGTTCTGACCTAACCGTAAAAACCCCCGCAGTAAGAGCCGGCTAATAACCATGCAGGTGATACCATATAGGCATACAATTAGAAAAATTATTGTGATTACGATGCAATTTGACGGCGGTGTAGCAGGTAAATGACGTTAATCATCCGCATAGTGGTAACGCATTCAAATAAAAAATAAAAGTTTATGCCTATAATTTAATATTTATTGACGAAGCGTGGTGAGCCTATATTATAGCATATTTTTCTTGTCTTATAATGGTATACATGAAAACATATTAATTTGAAAGTATCATACAATTATAGAATTATGTAAGGAATGTCACAAGTGTTCATTTGATGAGTGAACTTTTCACTTTCATGTACAGTTCTAATCTCATTTCTGCATATCTGAAATTTAAAAATAAAAATGTAAATTATTAAAGGTATAGCTTGTGGGTTTAAAATTTTAATTAGTAGGAGAATCTCATCAAACTTTGAACTTTAAATGTCTATATTTCTCATTATATCATTATATTATTACTTTAAATAATCAAAATCGATCACCGATATTTCGGTTTGTACGAGTGACCAGAATATCCATAGCAAATGCGATGCAATTGTAAACATGTTTACTTGGTCATTGAGCACGGCCACTCTTGGATCGTTTTGGTCCAAAGATTCACCGATGTATTCTTCCAGATAGGACCTCAGCCAGTCCATTTGCAAATCGACATTTGGATACAATGAAAAGTCCGGTTCTTGTACACCTGCGTCATTAAAATGTCAATGTAAATCGACGATAAGATAAAAGAAATATATATGAATATATGATGATTGATGACAAATATAAAGATTCCCTGCACGTTTGGAATAATTTTCATTATTAAATACCATACTCAAATAATGACGGACATATGTGTTCTCTTGTTGGTTATAAGTAGGATACTTACAACCAGAATGGCTAGAGTTGCCTCAAAGTTAAAAGTAAGGGTATAGATATTGGTATGCGTATAGGTGCAATTTGGGGGCAGGGGCTGAGTTGCGTGCTTAACGCTAGCAGTTTTGAAATGAGCACCTTTTTAAGTACCTATTTATGTATATGTATTGGAATTTAGTTATATCTACTACTTACTATAATAACTTATAATACAGAATACTAAGTGTTCTGTAGGTATAGCTCGAGCTACGAGGTACCTATAGCATATTTGGTATAATGTGTCAATATTCCTTTTCGACCTTAAGAAAAATATTTTTAACAAGTTAACTATTTTTAAAAAAAATCGGTGTTAACCATAAGTACTTGATAGTTGATATACTTGGTCTGTAATTAGGGTTTTCTGATACTTGGTTTTTCTAACAAATATAAGCAAACTGTATGGTTTTATTCAACACTCAGTATGAGAGTACTTTTCTAAAAAACAGGAATTTTAACGAAATTGATTTTGTTTTTTTGTTGCAATTCAAAAGTGAATAGCTGTGTAGACTTTAAATTTTCAGAAAATATTAATTATATCATTATTCATTACTGTCTACAGTCTACATATTATGAAATAATTATCAATATACTTCAAGACAGGCCTACTTAGACAATTGGAATTTATTCCTTATTTAAAAAAAATGTCCGCTTAATATTTGTGGGTTCACAGCTTGAAAATTTAAAACAAGATTCTCATAAGTTGTTCTTACAGTTGATAAAAAACAACATACTCACCGTTTTATTTTACAAGCTTTCAAGTGTTTAAGAAATTTGTCAAATTGACAAAAATATATAAATAATTGTGTAGATTGTTGTATATTCGCACATTTTTAATTTAACTCTATTGATAATGTAATACACACCAGCGAATTCAATAAAGTGATTTGCTATGTCGAACGCCTGATTGTTGAACATGGCGTACTCATAATCGATGAATGCTACGCTGACGGGACTACCTCCCAGAGCGTTGTCACTCTGTACAAGTATGTTGGTCAACAGCAGGTCGTTGTGACAGAACACGACTGGACTTCCGATGTTCTCCAGCAATGTTTTGACCGTTTCAATATCGGCACGTAGACTTTTGACGCCTTGAGGGAATGTCTTTCGATACCTATATTGAGTATGAATGTATTATAAATAATGGAATCACGAGTAGACGGTTGTAAAATAATACATTTTATATTATATTGTACTATAGGCGTAAGTGAAGGACACAAATCTATAGTTTTTTTAAATCGTATACCTATATGGCTATATTATATTTACCTATTTATTTAGTTAAATAATGGTTACCGTTTAGAAAACATTTTTTTCTCCAAGTTATATACATATATAGTCATATAGGAAGTGTAAACGAAGCAAATTCCCGATTCTTTCTTTCGAAAACACAACTACTCGCCACTGATCGATAAAATAGGGTTTCTCGTTAAAATAAACACCTTGTGTATAATAAATAATTATTAATACTATGAATTGTTTTATGTACTAACTGGAGGTCGATGGACGGCGAGCTAAAACGTTCCGGAATGAGATTGGCGAACTGTTCCATTTTATTCCATAGTCCGGATTTATTCGTCTCGTCGCCTGCCCCTTTACCACTTGTACCTAACCGGTGAAATCTCGCCATTGTTCTAGCCACTACCCTGTAAATATTCGGGTCCCGGACTGTGGTAGTGGTCAGCGTTTCGCCTCTAATGTATTTGTACACCAAACCATTATCGAACGTTGCGTACAGATCCGGCGCGATTCCAGCACGGTACAAAAACTGGAAAAACACAGAACGCACATTGTTATGACGGGATTATATATTTTATAAAATCTACAGTTCATAACAATATGGTCAAAAATTAATAATATATAATGAATTATTTCATCAAAACAATTGCCCTTTTGTAATTATAACTTATAATCAAATATAAATTAATGTTCTTAAAATGTGCATAGCAATCAATTAGATTGGTAAGAGTGACTATACAACGCAGCATGAATACTACAATTTAATAAGTGAAAAAGTTAATACAGGTAAACAAGGTGTAATAAAAATACCTGATAAATGAAATAATTTTTGTTCTAATCAATCATTAAAAATTATTTTTTTGTAACAATACACGCTCTGGCTACAAAGACGGTATAACATTTTTTTTTTTACAGGAATAAAAAATAAAAAACAATCTTTTTTGGGGAAAATTCAAAATAACCAATTTGTACAATTTGTAAATTTAATAAAAAAAAAAATATAATGGTAAAAACTTCTATTTAAGTTAAGTAGTTTATTTTTAACGATTTTTAAAATATTAATATTTTTTTCGGAGTAAGTTTATTTGAATCTTAATAACTTTTTTCAACATTTTTTTGAGAATTTTATCTTAAATTATTTATTGTTCATAAAATTTTCATTTTTGATTTACCAGGTTAACACTTACTAACTGAATACATATTTTACATTAAAAAAATTCGATTTTTTGAAAATGTAGAGTTCTAATAAATACTTGAATAAAATTATTGAAATTTACCGGTAGATGAGTGTTTGTACTGTTAAGAGAATCAATATAATCATTCAATAATACTTAAATACAAACGATTATTATTATATATAATCTTTTAAAACATACTAATATTGGTACTCACAATAATTAGTCTTAACAACCATACAATAATAAAATTGGCAATATAAATTCCAATGATATAAGTTTACTACCTACTATTATATTGCTATATACTACTATATTAGGTACCTATACTTTATATTTTGTATGTAATTACCAGGGCTCGGGACTTTATGCATTTGCATATTTGTTCGGGAAGTAAATAGAATAAAACTGATCCGATACAAATTTGTGTTGTGGTATTTAGAGTTAAAGTTTAAAAGTTTATTGTGCATATGTTTGCATATTTTGGAATTTTTTTCTACAAATGCATATTTTTAATATTTATTGATTTTTATTGCATATTTTAAAATAACTTTTGATTATTTACTCTTAAATCATAATGTATTGAAGAAAAATGTTGGTCTTGCTATGCTAAAGAAAATTAAAAACATTCTTAACGGTGAATTAATTGACATGAAAGACTTACCAGAAGACTTAGATATTAATGATCTGACATATTTTAAATATGCTCCCATCACATCGGTAAACGTAGAAAGATCATTTTCCGCCTATAAAACTTTACTTACAAATAATAGAAGGTCTTTCAAAGTCGAGAACATAAAAAAACATTTGATAATCCAGTGTAACGCAAGTAAGTACATAATTAGAATTATAAAATGATTATTTTTTAATACATAAAAATTATAATTGCTAGGTATAGAAGATGCTGAGTGTTGAAAAATCCAAAGACCTCCCATTCAACAGTTTTTACATTTTTTTTTTTAGTAATATAGTATGTATAAAATATACATTTTTAGTAATATGTACAAGAAATGTTTTTTTTAAAATTAAATTTGAATAATTATGTATTTTTTAATTAAAAATAAATGCATATTAAAGCGCATATTTTGATATTTTTTGGTGCATATGTATGCGCATATTTTTAAGATTTTAAGCACATAAAGTCCCGAGCCCTG